GGCGCGCCCACGTTTTATTGAATAGACAGTATAATCATTAAAAAATTACAAAAAAATTCCATGGTGAATCAGTGAGACATGGATGTGGATGAAAAAAAGTTAATTTAAAAAAATCTCTCTTAAATGGACAGTGCCATATATTTGAGATTGCGTTAATACTTTATGTCATACAAGGAATTGAATAGACATAGTATCCCAAAGCTGTTTTTTTGAAAATCGACATTTTTTGATTTCACACTATCGGACCATTCGGACATTTACCATCCTAGTAAATTTCTTTGCAAAGATAGAATAGCGGTATAAAAAAGTTTTTTGTAGCCTGTAATCCGTGCTACAAAACACAATTTAGTGTATAATTTTATCTTAAATCTGTACAAAGTTATGGCTTTTTGAATGGACTTGATCCACTTTTTCTGAAAAATCACAAAAAGTTTTGCCATTCTGCTCAACCTGCCTATGGGCACCTTATATTATCTGTTTTGTGATAATTTAAGGAAGCCATCAATATCTAAGAAAAAGCGAGAGGACACTTCGGGTACTTCACTTGTAAGAGAATTAAAAAAAAAGATAAAACAGGGACGTTTTCAAAAGAGGGGTCAGTGTAGAACACAAGGGTTATTAGAGGGACATGTGAAAAGCAATAGACGGTGAGTTTTTTTCACAAAAATACAGGTTTCAGAAATACCACGTCTGGATTATTGCGATTTCAGGAAAAACACGAAGCACTGATAAAGAAGATTGTGGAACGTAAAAAGAAGTGGGAACTAAAAATGAGAAGAAATTTTGTAAGAAATCGGCTTGACATTAGTACTCTTTCAACATTTCCGTTTCTTCGCTGTTACGTCCTCTGACACTGCGGCTTTCACTGTTTCCATACGTGATTCGATAACAATATTGTACTTCCCATTTCGGTTCCGCGAATACACAACCAACACATTCCCACCTGCTTTCATTTTAATCACAAGCTCACTAAAATTATAATACTACCGATCTTTTATCTGATAGACTAGACTTACTTTGTATTCACTTCTTCTTGCGGGTATTCATTTTGTAAGGTATTGAACATTGCATCTCGCGTGATTTCCAATGGGCATTCCATTTGCAATCGGCATCCAATTTCTTTGCCGTTTTCTACCCAAGAGTGCACAATGCTCAGGTAATGATGAAGAGTGGTAGGATTTTCTCTTACAATTATGATGAGGTTTCTATGTTCACCGAGCGGCTCTAAACTAGGTCTGATTTGACAGTTGTCATCGTATACATGTTCTTTGGCATTACGAACATATGAGTGGTCCAGATCTTCTAGGTTTGAATATGTCACTCGTTTGAATGGAATGCTCTCCGGATCCAATATTTGCTCGGTCAAATAAGCGTAATAGCTCATGATGAAATTAACCAAAATGTGGTTTACTTTGAATTTTACATCAACTGGAAGACGAATAGTAACTCCTGTCTTAATATCCAGGAATCCAACTTTGATAGGAGACTCTCTGTTTGCGAAGAAAAGAGTTCCAAGATGTTTCATTGCATGAAACAGGGGACGGTCGTAAGGTGTACGTTGGAATGTCTTTCCTGCGGGAGTTGTGATAGTTACTTGGGTCCAGTGATCCCTCGGTCCCTGATCTCCTTCGATCTCATCGCCATAACGGTAGGTACCGTCTGGACGTAAAACCAAACATGATTGCATCCAAATCTTTGTGATATAATAGGCGAAATCAATGTCTCCAGGCGTCAATACACTATCCATCTCGACGCATTCAGTTCCGAACGTATTTATATCCTGAATTCCTTGTTCAACATTCAAATGAAGCACTTTGTATTCAAAATCGTCGAGCTTGATCCTATAATCATCAAACTCAAGATGCTCAATGTATAAAGGAACACGTCTTTCGAGTTTTCGAATCGTGGGACATTTCAAATATATTTCGACTCTGAAAAAATTTAATTTCATCGTTTTCTTATATTTTCATGTTGAAAATCACCTTTTGTTTATACTCATCGACTCAATAATGGAACCAATTGCATCGTAACAGAGAGGTTTCTGTGATTCCTGCAATAAAGTTCATTGTAGAAAAATTTGTTGTACTAGGTTGATACGAAAGTTTCTTCCTTTTTCGGCAAAATTTTTGATCAAATTTTCCTTAAAGTGGAGGAGGCAAGATCATGTAAGTAAAGTCCATGAGCATCGATAGTCTGGCAACGCTCCGGTAATTTCTTGATTCCATCGGCCTATAACGAGGACGACTGCAGTTGAAAAAGTGAGTCAACTTCTTTTTTGTGTCATCTTTTCAATTGAAGTCTTTTTTATCAAGATGACGTTTAAGAGCCCTTAACGACCATTTATCCAAAAGGGCAAAGTCCTGAAAATACGGTGAGAACAAAATACTAGTCCACCCGAACGACATGACATTTTTGCTAACCTTTTTGCTTTTACGAGAAATTTGGGTTCCTGGACGTCCAGAGCTAGATGTTATTTGTTAATCAACTGACCCTTCCGTACATTGTTAGAGTAATTTACCCATTTCTTATCTACGGTAACTAGATTTTTCACCCAACTGAACGTGCGAAGAAATGGTAAAAGAAACATGATCATGTCTACACGGCGATCCATATCGTAGCCCGTTACAACGTTGGGTACGAATCGATCCAGTTTTTGACTTTGCCGAAAGACTTCAATCTTGCTACAATACTTGATTGACTAACGGGAAACGCCTGTGTCATTTTACGAGTTGTTTGAATTGGATCCTCTTCCACGACTTTTAGCAATTGATCAAGATCCGACTCAATAGGACGGTGCCATATTTCAAACTGAACTCCCCCAGGGCGGAATTTTTCGAACCAAACGCCAATTGTAGGCGATGAAGGAACATGTTTTTCATGTACATCCACAAATTTCTTACGGATACCAGGTGTTTGAATTGAAAATAGAAATAAATATTCTGAATGTGCAGTCGGATAAGGACCAAAAGAATCGTCATTTCTCCAACATGAAGTGAGATAAAATTTGAAAATGAAGCATCTAATAGACACTGAACACAGTTCTCCAACAAAAACATCTGACCTGGTAGACCACTTGGAGAACCAGATATAGAAGTTCAAAAAAAACCCTGCCAAAAAGGAAGAAACTTTCTTATCAACCTAATATTTTCCGGAATACGTTTCCAATTTGAATAAAAAACTCACGCTCATTTTCCGGAAAACTTCAAAGGTTCTGGACGTTGTATTGGAAGTTGTCTCCAACTCTGGAATGAATTTGTTGGCGAATAGTGTTTCTGAAAACAAACATTTTAATTTTTGTGTAAAACCTTATAAGAAAAGCAGTTTGAATCGTATTGAATTTGAACTGTTCCCATCTACTTTTCACTAAATGTAAGGAAGATTTTTTATGAAAATTCGAAAATTGGATTCATGAATCTTCCATAGAGCATTAACCATAAATCCCTCTTTTTGATACCACACATAATGATCTTCTTGAAAGATTCGTGACAGAAATTTTGAAAATTCGGAACTTTCGGAATGCAGAAATTCCAAAGATTTTGAGAACTTTAAAAATTTGAAAATAAAACCACTCAGAAATTTTGGGAATTCCGAATTATTAGTGAAAGATATAGTAAGCGGAAGACCGGAGGTTGAGCCCCGACAGGGAGCGTAAACCTACTAGTAGTGAACTTTTGGATAGTGATCTTTTTGGTAGTTACTTTATTGAAAAAAAAAAGTTGTGGAAATTTTTTGAATAGGGGCAAAGTGAGAGTTGAGATACAAACACTGGTGGAATTGGGGGAAACACGGGAATTGATAAAAGAAATTAAAAAATAAACATTCGAGAAACCAGATCGACATGAGAATATCACTTAATCAAAAGAAAATCAAAAAAATTGTGGACGTTTGTATACAACGATTCTTGATTTAAACTCAAAATCTGCATTAAATTCACAGTTTCCAGTGGTTAACGAAAGTTGTGGGGAAATGGGAAGGTTAAAAACGAAATCAAATGAGTTGTTAGGTTTTGTATCTTCTTGCCATTATTTTTTGTTCTGATCAGCAGCTACCGCTCCAACTTTTTTCTTGTCCTTCTCTTCAGCATTTTTCTCCTTTTCTTTCTCTTCATCGTCCGTGTATTTATCTTCACTTTCTTCCTCGTCTGGCAATCCATGGCTCACAACAGTCGGTATGTTCAAAGGCTCAAGTGTGAATGTCATTGTCATTTCGTCCTCAACTGGAACCGGACGAGTGTAATGTGCACGAGCGATGCGACGGTTGTTGACTCCTTGGATTGGTTTTCGTTGGACCTCGGACTGAAAATATTATTATTTGTTTAGGCACGGTCTCCCACAGATTTGTTACGAACTGCAAATTTATTTTTGATCTACAGATAAAAAACTTGGCGCGATCACAATTGCAGGTCTAAAGCCACATTTTCAGCATTTTTTATCTGATTTTGTGGAGATTTAAAATGATTCATCTAATTCTTAAAAAATTAATTAGTGGTTATAGAATCCTGTACGGTCCTTTTCCGAAAGAAAATATTCCAAAAATGACCAATTTCCATAGTTTCTTACAGAAAAAATAGAACTCCTCTTTCAGTTTTTGACATTTTCAGGG